CCCCGCCTTCATGGTCTCCACCACACGTGGCTTCCTTCCTCGTCAAGAACCCATCGTTGAACTACCAAAGGAGTTCGCTGCTCTTGAGTCTATCTTGCAACGCATGCCCATCAAGACACTGTCAGGGGAGCCAGGTCTACTTGCCAACTTCACCTTCGGCGACACCGTACTCAAGGAGCTTCCTGACCTTACCCCAGAGGTAGAGAAGTATCGCGATGACCTGGTTGTCATGAACGCCCTGTATCGTGACTACTCTTTCTTGGCTTCTGCATATCTCTTCGAGCCTTGCCATGAGAGGCATGTAAGAGGAGAAGAATACGGTCTGGGTCGGCAGTCGCTGCCGAGGTGCATCGCGCTACCTATCGTCAAGGTTGCTGAGATGTAAGTGGCAATGCTTTCTTCTGTCCTCATATGATGCTGGTCTTAGGTTCTTGTCTCCTCCTCAGTTTGGCATGGCCACTTCCAAAGAGAACCTGACCATGAAGTTACCTCCACCCTACCTCATAGACTGGATGGCATGGCTGACATTTTCACGTACGCAGTGCTGGTTTCAAGCCGTTCATGGAGTATGCTGGGTCGTATGCGCTCTTCAACTACCGTCTGGAAGATCCATCACGGGGCCTCGAGTACGACAACCTTCGCCTGATTCGCGCTTTCGAGCATGGCTTGGATCCCACCTCATCTGAGGCAGGCTTCGTTCTCGTACACATCGCTATGGTCAAGGAGTCTGGTGCGCTTGTCACAGGTGCCTCTGAGATGCTTGAGAGCTGTCTGGCTAAGGACCGAGAGCGATTCAACGACGGCCTTCGTACTCTGGTGGGTGGCCTCAGGAACGTCAACGCTGTAATGAACAGTAAGTGCATTGCTCAGGTGTGAGAGTTCACGACTGACGAGATTAGCCATGTGGAACCGCAGCAAGCCCCAAGGCTACACCAACTTCCGTACGTTCATCTTCGGCATCACCTCGCAGAGCATGTTTCCCAACGGTGTCATATACGAGGGCGTGAGCGAGGAGCCAATGTCTTTCCGCGGCGAGTCTGGTGCCAACGACAGCATGATTCCCATGTGCGACAACCTGCTTCAGGTTCAGATGCCGGAGACACCCCTCACAGACATTCTGAAGGACTTCCGCCAGTACCGCCCCGGCAACCACCGCGAGTTCCTGGAGGCTGTTCGTGATTGCGCTCAGCAGTCGGGCGTGCGCGAGTTTGCGAAAGGCGACTCCGTCTCTGCCGCGCTCTATCTCCAAGCTCTTGATCAAGTTCGCGACTTCCGCTGGCGGCATTGGTGCTTCACTCGCGAGTACATCCTCAAGCACACTTCGCACCCGACTGCAACAGGTGGCAGCCCGATCGTGACTGTAAGTGCTTCCTCGGTACGACGGTCCTTGCTCTTACTGACGCGTACTAGTGGCTACCCAACCAGCTGACGGCAGTACTCATGCAAATGGCGGAGACCTTTGAGTACTGCAAGACGATCAATGGTGTCAGCGATATCATGGATACAGTCAACCACCAGCGCGAGTCGCTGAGGAAGGAGGTGGAGAAGTACTGCGGGGAACGAGGTGTTGCAGCATCATGAGAGGGCACGCTTCCCTCGTCGACGGCGCTACCCGTTCTCTTGTAACTTATAGCCAAACCATGATGCATTTACTTTATGCCTTCTTTATCATGTGCGCCTTTGTTGGAGTGCTGCCTAGTCGCGACATTTTCGTGTTCCGCCCTTTTTGGTGATGACTCGCGTAAACTCAGCGATGCGAGGGCGTAAACACGTATCGTATGACTGTAGCGACAACACTACGGATGACGCCGTGGTGATTGTGGACCACGGAGGCTGTGAGTGGTGTAATGGTGGTGGTTCTGGGATGAGTCAAGACGCGCTACCGCGTGAGTCTCAGCGTCATGGCTCCGGCGGCCTTCTATCGATAAGTAGGCCCCCGGATCTCCCTAGCAGCTCCTCATCGCCATTGCCAGCGCCATTCCAGCACTTGCCACCCTTCGATGCTCGCTGCAAGACAACTCATGGAATATTCACACTCCTTCCAGCTCCCGCGAATACCAAACGTCTTATTAATACGGCGGTGTTTACGGAACACGTCCTGACAGCCCCAACCCCACATTCATACCTCCATCACACCACGTACATCGATCGCTACGAATACCTTCAGCCTAGGTTTACCGGTGGATATTTCATAATCACGTGCTATTTCGCATAATATGGCCTCCCGACACGAGCCTAAGCAGAGCCCAGCTGAGCGGCGGAAGGGCGAGTCTGTAAGTAATAACCCAGGAGAAGCCTACCTCTCTCCAAGCTGTACCCCAGATGTACCCCAGATATATTCGTTGCTTTGATACTGCAACGAGTATGGTACGGGAAAAACCAATTCCGTTGGCTCACGGTTTGCGCCGAGTAGTACAACCAGGGAAATGTGGCTTCCTGTAGCACGAAAGCGATCGCATCGTACTTTAGACGGATCACCCATTGAGGCTCCAGAAGACGTACTCAAGCTAATGTACATACCAGGCGCTCAGCGAATTCGCCGATTACGTCCAGAAACAACAGGCGCTGCGCCGACCGCCAGGCCAAGCCCCCGCCGTCCTCGAAGACCACGATGAGCTGAGCATCCTCGACGAGCTCGGCCTCTCCGATGACAACAAGGCGCACATCCGCCTCAAGACGCTCCTTACCGACCCCGCCGAAGAGAACGTCGCAGCGCTCGCTGAGCATATCCAGGGGCGCCTGGCCGAGGGCCATGGGGAGGCTCTGTTCGATGTTGGCCTGGAAGACAGCGGTGACTCCATGGGCTTCACTGAGGACCAGTGGAAGTTTGCCTTGGAGAGGATACGAGTTGCCTGCGAGAAGATCAAAGCCGACTACAAGATGCTCATGACGCGGAACGTTGGTGGTGACGTCGAAGTCGGGCCTCGCAATGCGAAGGAGCTTGGCTTAAGTGGCAAGATGATCTTGCGACAACAGCCGCAGAGTGTCGACGATGTCATCGAGACGAGGATAGCAGTTGTAGGAAATGGTGAGTGCCTCCAGGCGCAATTGAGAATATACACTGACTATTGACAGTCGACGCTGGCAAAAGTACCATGCTCGGTGTCCTCGTCAAAGGCGGCCTCGATGATGGCCGCGGAAAAGCGCGCGTCAATCTCTTCCGCCACAAACACGAAATCGAGAGCGGTCGAACCAGCTCAGTCGGCATGGAGATCATGGGGTTTGACAGCAAGAGCGAGGTGGTTGTGTCGAACGTCGCAGGTCGAAAACTTACTTGGGAAGAGATTGGACGGCGGTCTGCCAAGGTCATCAGCTTCACTGATCTCGCTGGTCACGAGAGATACCTGCGAACTACCGTCTTTGGGCTGCTGTCAAGCGAGCCCAACTACTGTCTATTGATGATCGCAGCAAACAACGGTTTAGTGGGCATGAGTAAAGAGCATCTCGGAATCGCACTTGCGCTCAACGTCCCCGTCATGGTCGTTATCACCAAAATCGACATTTGTCCGCCACAGATCCTTGAACAGACTATAACTCAGCTTTCCAAGATCCTCAAATCTCCAGGAGCGCGGAAGATACCGGTATTCATCAACAACAGGGAGGAGTGCATCACTACCGCTACCCAATTTGTGTCGAGTCGCATATGTCCTATCTTCCAAGTTTCCAACGTCACTGGTCATAACCTGGACCTAGTGCGCATGTTCCTCAACGCATTACCACATCACGGAAATTATGACGCCTCTGCTCCTTTGGAATTCCACGTCAACGACACATTCTCGGTACCTTTCGTTGGTACTGTTGTTTCAGGTGTTGTGAAGTCTGGTGAAATCCATTCTGGCGACACGGTGTTGATCGGTCCCGACAGTCTTGGGCAGTTCCAAACGACAAAGGTGCGTTCCGTCGAGCGCAAACGGATACAAGTTCCGGGATGCTCTGCTGGGCAGTCTGCTAGTCTCGCGCTGCGCAACGTTCGGCGGAAAGATGTGCGAAAAGGCATGGTCGTTTTGCACAAGGCTGAGAAGCCTGATCCAACAACCGGGATATTGCCAGCCCCGAAAGTGTACCGCGAGTTCGTTGCCGAAGTCTTGATCTTGTCGCACGCGACGACTATCAAGACCAAGTACCAGGCTATGCTACACGTTGGACCAGTGTCCCAAACCTGCGCCATTATCGACATCGATCGCCAGTACATCCGCACTGGTGACCGAGCACAGGTAGCCTTCCGCTTCGTACAGCGACCAGAGTACTTGACTGTCGGCGATCGGATACTCTTCCGTGAGGGCAGGACGAAAGGATTGGGTATTGTCAAGAGAGTTGGTTATGACTCCAAGCATCCGCTAAACCCGGAGTTGCACAAAGACGATAAGAAGAAGGATGGCCAACAGGATGGGAAGAAGGTGGAAGCATCATGACGGGTTAGAACGTAGAAGTTAGCAGATATCCCATGACCTGCTTGAGCAATCGCATTAGAAGATTGGATGATGTCACGTAATGAACGCTCTAGAGACTAGCTGTAATGAATGATATAATGACATCAATTTGCATGGTAATCCCAGCTCAAACGCAACTTTGCTGTGTCAATTGGTCTGGCACAGCCAGTGTTGATGATAGCGGCTTTTCGCGCTCAAACATGGTAATTCATAAGCTGGCGGGGCTGAGTTCGAAGTACCGCAACGTGTGGAAGTCACGGTGCTGACAGCCGCGTATCGATAACAGTGTCGCAATGTTGCACCTTCAGTGGCCGCAGTGGAAGCTTCTGAGCGACACAACGACGCCTGTTTTGACTCACAAACCTCTTCATCACATTTTTCATCTCACGTGCGAACTTTCAAGTAATAACTCCATGTTAAGATTAGTTAGCCGCGATCAGGAGGATCGCAGCCCAACGCGAGCGGACTGCCGCACACTGCAACTGCATCTAAGAGCATCGTCACGTTTTTCGTGATTTAAGGAGACCTGAACACCACTGCGGGATCCTGAAAAAGTTGTGTTCTTACACGATGGCAACTACAGACCCCGCACAGTCGACGCTGTACCCCAAGATCACGACACACATTCCTGAGATCATCGAACAGTTGCGACGCTCGAACCGCGACCCTACTCATCCAGAAAGAAACATCACTGTGGACCCAATACCTTTCGTGGGTACTGTCAAACTTCATGGCACGCACGCAGATATCCTCATATACCCTGATAACCGCATCGTGTTCCAGTCGCGCAACATAAGTGGTCTGTCCGTCGCAAAAGATAACCAAGGATTTGCGGCAGATATGTCAGAGAAGACCGCCGCCGTACTTGGACTGCGAGACATTTATCTGGCACGGTGGAGAGAGTTGAATCCCGGCACACCAATCGAAGAAGAGTCGCCCATCGTGATTGCCGGTGAATGGATAGGCGAGAAGATCCAGAAAGATGTCGCCATTGCCCAACTATCCCGCCGCTTCGTCATCGTCTCGGTTAACATCAATGGTGCATGGCAGAAAGATGAAGAGTACTCTGATATCTGCTTGCCGGACTACGATATCTACAACGCATTACGCGCCGGCATCTTTCACACAACACTCTACCCAGACGACTACGAACACACAGTATCAGAAATCGAACGCATGACCGAAAGAGTCGCCGCTCACTGCCCTTTCGCAGCGACTTTCAGTATATCCGGCTTGGGCGAAGGCATTGTCTGGAAACCTGTAGCCCCTCAATACAACGCCGACACCTCTCTATGGTTCAAAAGCAAAGGAGGAAAGTTCAAGCCTACATTCTTCCGCATCCCGAAATCCATCGAAGGTGCCGATATCATCAAAGAGCGACGCAAAGCAGCCGCAACGGTAGCAGTTGCGTGGTGTTCGCAGCAGCGATTAGAACAAGGCTGGGATGTATTGCGCGAGAAGGGTGTTGAGCGGGACGTCAGAGCACTGGGCGAATTTTTGAAGTGGATACAACATGATACTTTGGAGGAAGAGAAGGAGCATATCAAAGAGCATGGTGTGGATGAGGCGGCGTTGAAGATTGAGATTGCTAAGATTGCTAAGCCGTGGTATAGGGCGAAGGTTAGGGAGCGAGATGCCAACTGATGTCTAGCAAGCGAGAGGAGATCATCCGGAAGAAGTTTGCTGAAGTCGATTGCAGACGATAAATAAGATTGGGGAAGGTTTGTGCTCTCACGAGCAAAGCCGCAAACTTCCGACCCGGAGCTTATTAAAAGATATCTTGTCTTGGGGCCGACTAATCTTACCACTCGCTGAAAGCACTACTTCAGTAGCGACAAAGAATTCCCATCGTATTTTGGGTTTCAATAAAGTCCGAGAAACGCAGGTCTACCATACCGATCAACGACACATGTCTGCGGCGACAGAAGATGCTTTGGCAGAAAAGAGGCCACAGATGCCCGAAAAATACACCTGGCTTCGCCAAGCTACTTCCCTCTATGACAGCTGCTGTGTTAGCCTGTGTGTCCCCACCTCCGACATTGATGATGCGCGTTCCAGTCTGGCTAAGGGCGTACCAGAGGATTCAGTCATCGATGCACTCCCTAGGCGCGTCGTTGCAGTAAAGATTCCCGGAGAAGGCTCTACCCAGCCTACGATGCATTCCGAATTACGCATTCTCCAAGAGATACACCGCCAATCGTATTCTCGCAGCGGCGGTGAGCACTGCATTGAAGTAGTTGACCACTACGACATGGAAGCTATGGCCCAAGGGGAACCAGGTTGGCTGGTCATGGCAAGCTCACCAGTTTCTAGTGATCTTGAAGGATTCTTCGTCTTCGATACTAGGGATAAGCTTCCAAAATGCCTACTCTGGCTCATCATTACGCAGCTCTATGAGACAATCTACTTCCTACACCGCGAATGTAAACCGACTATCACACATGGCAGTGTTTTAGCGGAGGACATTCTTATCAGCTTTCCCAACGAAGAAAAGAAGAATGGCGAGGTTACCATTGCTAAACGCCCTAAAATCAGTCTCGTAGGATTTGCGAAGAGCTGCATCCATGATCCTACGAACTCTCCAGATGGGCTTGAACGCAAGGCTCGGGCAGAGGAAGAAGATGTCGAATCTCTGGCCCAATTGATTCGAAAGCTCATCTATAGGTGCTACGAGCATGAAGATGTATACGATGGCAAGCCAGGAGGGAAGATGACAAGGCTCGTGCGAAAGTATCTCAAAGATGATGCGCCAGAAGAGGTGAGGAAGTTTATGCAGCGGGATGCGCGAGACTTGGAGGGCGTATGGGCTGCTATCGGGGTATTCGCTAAGGAAGAATTGGGGAAAGTCAGGAATGAGGAGTGGGAAGAGGTGCGGGACTCGGTTGATGAGGTTGCTGAAGGGAAAGTAAAGTTGAGCGACATCGTCAAGGACGTTCTGAAGGGTCAGCCTGCGAATAATTAGGTGGCTAGCCCAATATCATTTCTATGTTAAGAGATGCTTAGATCTCAACATCAAGCGTTTTCTTATCTGCGACAGATCTTGTTCCTGTGTGCTTAGAATCCTACAAGTTGTCCTATTTGAGTCCCTCGAAATGTATAAACTACACTGTGTATGTTCTGCTCGAAAACTTGCACGTGTTCTCCTCGCCATCTACTAAGCTCAGTGGTTTGACTTTGGTTTCTCAAACGTCCAAACCCACTCCAGACAACGCCCGTGTCCTTGTGTGTATTCCCTCATATATCCACTCCGCTTGCCCCCGGGAATTACCAGCTCAGCCGCACGAGAGAGTTCCTTCTTCCAAGCATCTAAGTAATGATCTTCCAGACGCCTAGCTTTATTTGCGCTGTCGGTCTCCCCTCGCAAACTCCAATACCACACAAGCATTTTAGTATCATCAACAACGCCAACGAGGTGAACCTGGAGACGACGAAGCTCAGTGTGGCTAGATAAAATTTCGAGGCCAGAGAGGTTAAAGGTAAAGTCTGCCGCGCTGTTGGCAGCTAGTCGTTCATTGGTTGGGCGGACGAGTTTGATGCAAACAGTGTCTAGCGGAGTCGAGGAATTAGCCGTCGCGGCGCTTCTATTGATCTCAGCCCGTACTACTTCGCTGAGCCGGTAGACTCGTTTTACGTCATCGAAGATCATCGGCCAGTCGCACTGGATGAAGATCTCGTGCGTGTGGCACTCTGATGGAGTGATGGCGTCTAAGATATAGCTTTGGGGATGTGTATCTGATATTCGGTTATCCAGGTGCCACGTTGACTTCTGGTGTAGCTGTCGGATGCCTTCGCGCATCATTTGCTTGTTGGTAAGAAGCCATGGGGCTTTACCGTAAGCGGCTGGTGCTTCGACCGAGTCTTGCCTTCTATCATAGGCTACTTTGTAGTCTTTGGTATCGTACCGCTGGATAAAGCACTTCGTATCGCTCCAGAGGTAGTCGTAGATGATATCGCGGACTTCGGTTGGCAAGGTCGAAAAAAATGGAGAAGTCGACATTGGAGCGGTCGATAATTTTGATTTTCGATATGCTGTCGAAGACCCTAGTTAACATTCGCTTCAGTTCTTGACGGAGTTGAGAGATTGAACCGGAGACTGAGGCGAACTATGATCGTGAGATCTAATGGGGCTAGGCATTGTATATATCGGTAAAGGGAGCACCATGAATGCACTGTCCAACGGTGTGGACCAGCAACACAGCGTGAATTGCGCATTGATGGCCGTGCACACAAAGGTAGCGCAGATATCGGTCGTATGGATTATAGGTACTGGGTAGTCGAATGGTCAGGGTGGCGGCTTCAATGCCGTACCCATGGCGAATCTGACGTTTGGCGATGATTGAAGCCATTGAATGGATGCAGCTTACTCCAATTGCAGAACAGACGGATGGCGCAGCCTAGGGAGTAGTTGCCTACATATGTAAGTGATACCCTCACTGATGGTTGTGTGGCAAAGACGATGTCAAGAAAAATGGTGGACTGCTAACCCTGGCTTCGCGTTAGGGTCTGCATCCCAGTGTCTTCGAAGCCCCCGGGCGGGAACGATCAACTCCAGAATCTCGAAACATTGCTGAGAACCTTCGGGGTCAGTCATTGACAAGACGAAACAACCATGGAAATCCGAATCTGCGTGCTTGTCGAAGACGCCTGATCGCTGTCATACTCTCTTTTGACTCCAACATCAAACGCAGATGTATACCAAGCGAGAGGGATGAAAGCGTAGATGAAAATGTAGCCGTGAGTGACTGAAGTCGAGTGAAAAAGCGCACGACTTAGATGTGCCAGCGTCGCCATCTATCACGGAGATGATGGCCGGAAGAAGATGCGGAAGTCGCGACCTCAGGCTGGCAATACTTGGTGCCGCAATGACGTTTCCCACGCGCACCGACCAGCCCCGCCAAACGCGAACCTGTCGCGTCCTCACGTCGCGTCAGCTACGCCACTCAGCAAGACATGGGTAACACTGTTCGCGAGTTCACGAACAGAGATTGCCATTGAGAACATCACAATCTTGGCAGGTACAAAATCTCAAAGGACAGGAAGATGGAACTGTAAGCTTGATTTGACTTAATACTAGGACTCCACGACAGAGTTTACAGGAAACTATCTACTTCAACACCTCCAGGACACCGAGTTCTCGCAACGCTATGATACAAAGACAAAACAAAGAAAGGGCTCTTCCTGCTACAACACCGTCTAAAACCCAGTATTTACAAATGAGAACAAAGGAACGCCAAGTAATGCTAATGATGATGATGCAGAACAAAAAAGGAAAAGAGTGATGTTAGGGAAGCTTCTAGTTCCCCCTACCAAGCAACTTCTTGCCCAGAGCCTTCGCTTTCTTCGTCTTCGGACCATCGGTGTCTTCTTCCATGACGCTGCCTTCCCGTCCACTCATACCACTGACGCCACTAATACCAGTGGCCACACTCGCAGCTCGCATGCTGGCCGCTCCACTACCCGCTCTGCCTCGCATGTGTCCGGCGAAAGGTGCGCTAACTCCAGCGATATGTTTACTCAAGCTATGAATGAGATTCGCATGTACTGGCTCCGTGTTGTCTACTCTTGACAGCTCATCAGCAAAGGCGCGACCGTCGTCGACGTCTTCGGGGCCTAGTCCGTTGCTGTGATGATTCAAGCCACCCATGATGGAACCGTGTGTTGAGCGTGCTTGATTGGAAGTTGAAGGTGGTTTTGAGGATTGGAGAGACGAGCCTTCTTCCGAGACGGTGCTGATGAGACTACCTTGGCGGCCGGATGCGAAAGAACGGCGGGGCATACGGTCTTCGGCTGAGAGGTCGGAGCCACCGGGTGAGTGGTCGCGCATGGAATTCGAATCGGTGCCTGAAAGATCGGGAGAGGTGTTGAGCATCGTGCTGCTGTTGGCGAGCTGTCGGAGACGTGATTGTGCTTTGGCTGAAGGCCGGTGGTGCGAGATCTTGTTGCCGACGATTGTACCGGCGTGCGAGAGGAGCGCTCTCAAGACGTCTTTCTTGAGTTGCGTGACGAGGTCTAGGTTAGACCATGTCTTGTTGCGGTACTCTATTGTGGGCATCCTGAAGACCAGGTCATGGACATCTTCAAAGTTGCGTGTGCTCTTGCCCTTGTAGGAAAGACATAGTACCATGGACGGAATCTTGAAGTAAGCGACTGTCATGTACTCGCTCGCACGACTCATCATCTCAGTCAGATCATCACTTCTGGCTTCCTTCTTATTCGTTTTCTTCTCCGCCAGATTGGTGCCGGTGCGGTAGAGTGCAAAGCGTTTTGCAGTTCGATCAGACTCGTTCAGAGTCTGGCTTGAGTTGGTAGTACTTGACCGGACGGAGCTTGGTCTTGTGGAGGTATTGGAGCTGTTTCCCAATGTAGGCACCACCAATGCGGAGCTCGGGTGTAGAGTGCGACGAAGCTCTGTACCACTACGAGAAGGGTTGTTGTCTTTGAAGAAACGGAAATAGTGAGCGCTTGGGCGCTTAACCAAGCTCTTCCTCTTTGCGTCAGACTTTTGTACTGGATCGGGCAGCTGAAGTGTAGGCGTAAGTCGTTGTTTGAGCGCCTCCACAGCGGCGTCATCAGCTGAAAGCGAGGCGCTCATACTTGTCGCTCCAGAAATAATGCTATCGGTCTCCGCATCTTCTTCCTCCTGA